TTGTGCATGGTCCAGGACAGGGAAGTATGGTTCAAGATGTGGGGACCTGGTCCAGGGTACGGGAGCACAGTCCAGAATCAATGTGCCTGGCTTGGTAGGGGGATACACAGTCTGGGATGGATGTGCACAGTTTGGAATGATGTGCATAGTCTGTGGTGGGAATGCACAGTACAGGATGATGTACATGGTCCAGGATGGGGGTGCACAGTCTGGGATGGAGGCGCCTGGTCTGGCATGGGAATGCACAGTCAAGGATGGAATGCATAGTCTGGGATGATGGAGTGCCTGGTCCAGGGTGAGGGTGCACAGTCTGTCATGGGGGTGCAGGATCCAGAGCTGAGGTTTGGTTTCCCCTTCCTGCAGAGCTGCTGGAACTGCGGGCGCAAGGCAAGTGAGACCTGCAGCGGCTGCAACACGGCCCGGTACTGCGGCTCCTTCTGCCAGCACAAGGATTGGGAGAAGCACCACCATGTCTGTGGGCAGACTCTGCAGGGGCTGCCAGGCCCCACCACCCCCTCCGCGGGCGTGGGGCTGCCCCCCGGGCCAGGCCAGTCCGATGGGGTGCCCACCATGGCCAGCAGCCCCAGCGAGGCAGGGTCGGTGGCCGCTTCCCGCGCCGGCACTCCGGCCACCCCGGCCCCGCTGGACAGCGCGTCCCGCTGAGCCCCCCGGACTGCCCCGCTCCCGCTGCTCTGCAAGAGCCACAGACTGCACTCAGTGCGATTTCCTCAGCTACCTGACTCGTGTGACCTCCGAAACGACCTCTCTAGCTCTCACAAATAATCCTCACGGATCCTCAAACTGGGCTTTAAGTGGAGTTAAGGCAAATACCGGTCTCTGTTCTCTCTTCAGTCTTTGTTTCGGCTTTTTTTGGTTGGTTTTCTCTTGGTTGGGGGATTGTGGTTTGGGATTTTAGGGGTTTTTTTTGGTTTTTTTTTCCTTTTTTGCTTTCTGGATGAGGGATTTGGCTCCAGACTCGCCACACAGTGGCTGGGAGAGACCAGCCTGCTCACATCCTGCATCAGCACTGCCGAGCAGCTCGCTTGGAGGAGGAAAGAACCTTCCTTTCTTCGTCTCTCTTCCTTTTTTTTTCTTTTTACCTTTTTTTTTTTTGTAAAAAAAATAAAGAAAATAAAAAAGAAAACATCGAACTCTTTGGCTTTAAGTAAGAAATTGTAAAAAAGGAAAAAAAAGAAAAAAAAAAAAGGAAAATCCAAAAACCAGACGACGCGTGACGGACGCTCACCTGTAACTACCTTGCTAGCTAGCCAAGAACAGACCAGACTCACCTCTGCTCCAAAGGAAATCCAAAACCAAGGAAGATCCAAACGTCTCTCCACTGCCAAAGTTCGTTTCATTCTGTTGTCGTTTCCTTCCCCTCCCCTCAAGGATGGATGGACGCGCCCCCGGGGGCTTTAAAGAGTTTCTATTAAAATAAAGCAAAAAAAAAAAAAAAAAAAAAAAAAGGTGTTTTTTAAATAAAACCCCAGCCCTCGAGGTGTGGGAGGGGGACATGGGGCTGAGAACCGCCCGGGTGGGCGCAGCCGGAGCCGGCACGTCTCTACCTCTGCCCGCCGCTGCCCTGGAAAAGGAGAATAAAAAATGAGAATAATTTTAAAAAAGAGAATAATTAAAAAAAAAAAAGAATTAAAAAGAGATTAAAAGACAGATTTTGGTTTTTCTCCCTCCCTGAAGCTGTCGGGGGCCACCCACAGCTGGACCCCCATCCCTTTGCTGCCGGGCTGCTCCCACACCCCTCGTTGGATTTGTTTCACAAGGATTTTTAAGAGGAAAAGGAAAAGGAAAAAAGGAAAAGGCAAAGGAACACTGCCTCCTTCCTGGCCAAGGAGGCAGCCAAGACAATATCGATTATTTTGGGATTCTTGCCTCGCTGGAGCAGCGCAGAGGACAGGAGTGCAATATGGAAAGTCCGGCGGCTCCAAGTGGAGGCAGCGGTGCTGTGCGCTAATGTGAATGTAAATAGTGTTTTGCAGAGGTCCAAAAAATGAATAATAATGATGATAGTGATAATAATAAGAGACTTTTGCCAAATAAAGGATGAGGAGAAGGTGAGGGGGCTGTGGCACTGTCCGGAGCGAGCCAGAGGCCTGAAATCAAGAGGAGCTGTAGTTTTTCTGCATTTGCAAAACCCATCCTATGTGTTTTCTGTAGGGGAGGAAAAGGAGGGGAGGGCTGGGGCTGGGTTAGTTGTGTTGCCAGCCACCCTGGGCTGGGCCAGGCCACTGCAGAGCTTGGTGCATGGGACACCCCAAGGTGATGTCACCGGCCCCGTGCCACCAGCACCGAGACCTGCTGGGGGTTTCTCTGCACCCCAAGACCTTGGTGCATCCCCTGGGAGGGTTCTGTGTGCTCCAAGAACTTGGTGGGTCACCTTG